CTATGTGTTCGAGATATTGAGATTTAAATACATGCATATGTATATAAAGAAAATGCGGTTGGAACTTTCAACTTACTTCGACATATCTATGGTATTCGAGATATCCACGTTCAAGATACCAAAGTTCAACTGTATTATATTAACTCGGTTCTTGTTGAGATGAGTTGCATTGTTAATAGGAAGATTAAATTAATCCCCCCTTCTGCATCCATATTGTAAGCTGAATCTCGTGAAAAATGTTTTCTGATATTATGGAAGGATATATGATTAAACAAAGAGGGCTTTATGACAGAAAATACTTTTATGCCCCCGGATCGAAAGATCCCGGGGGTATATTGTTTTTGTCCTGTCTGTCTGTTTGTCTGTTTATCTGTTTGTCTGTTGTCAACTTTAACCTTGCCCATAACTTTTGATTGGTTGGAGCTATGACTTTCATTTTTCACATGTGTATTCCTTGTGACAAGACCTTTCTTTGGGTACCATCATATTTGACCTTTTGACCTTGACCTTGGAGTTTGACCCACTTTTGTAAAATTTTATGAGACTTTAACCTTGGTCATAACTTCTGAACAGTTGGTGATTGGGGTTTCAAACTTCACCTGTGTATTCTTTGTGACAAGGCCTTTCTTCGAATACCAACAACTTTGACCTTTTGACCTTCACCTTAGAGTTTGACCTACTTTTGAAAAACTTTAACCTTGGCCATAACTTTTGAACGGTTGAAGCTAGGGCTTTCATACTTCACATATGTAATCCTTGTAACAAGACCTTTCTTTGGATACCAACAACTTTGACCTTTTGACCTTGACCTTGGAGTTTGACCTACTTTGGAAAAACTTTAACCTTGGCCATAACTTTTGAACAGTTGGTGCTTGGGGTTTCAAACGACACATGTGTATTCCTTGTGACAAGATCTTCCTCTGGATATCAACCTCTTTGACCCTTTGACCTTGACCTAGGAGTTTGACCTACTTTTGAAAAACTTTAACCTTGGCCATAACTTTTGAACGGTTAGAGCTAGGGCTTTCATACTTCACATATGTAATCCTTGTGACAAGACCTTCCTTTGGATATCAACCACTTTGACCCTTTGACCTTGACGTAGGAGTTTGACCTACTTTCAAAAAACTTTAACCTTGGTCATAACTTTTAAATGGTTGGTGCTAGGGCTTTCATACTTTACATATGTAATCCTTGTGACAAGATCTTCCTTTGGATACCAACAACTTTGACCTTGTTTTACTTACTTTTAAAAAACTTTAACCTTTGCCATAACTTTTGAACAGTTGCAGCTAGGGCTTTCAAATTTAACATTTTTTATCTTTTGGCCAGGATTTTGACTTGCATTTGAGAAACTTTAACCTTCGCCATAAGATGCCATACGGGGGCATCAGTGTTTCACAAACACATCTTGTTATAATTAATTTTGGTCGAATTAATGAGAGACTCCTTAGATTTAAAAGACTTGTCAATAACGAATGCATATTTTGTGTCAATCTGTATCTCACAGAACAATCTTTTCTTTTATCAAGAAATTTTGCCATGAAGCACGAGAAAAAAATTTTAAAAATTGTTTGTCAAGAAGATGAAGCAAATTGAATTCCTTATTATATAAGCAATTTGATGCAAAAAATAAAAATTGTGCAAATTCGTTCATTTAAGTGCCAGATTTATGATGTTAAATCTAACCATTTGCTTTTGAACATTCGATAGCTGAATTTATCGCGTTCAAGCTCTGCATAACGTTTTAGATAAACAGCAAAACAGAGACCCGAATCTGACATTATAATCAAATTTGGAATTCAGATCACAAGTTATCTAGGAAACTGATATAACATAATAAGCAACTAAAATTAAATGTATAAATCTATCCACATTATGGAAACTTTCTCTACTCTTTGATTTTCAGAACATCAAACAGTTCCACTGAAAGGAGAGGCACATTAGCCGGCATAACGGGCTCCGCTGCAGCAAAACATCAAAGGCCACGCACATTCGAGAAATCTTATAAAACGCTTACTCGGAGATGGGGATATCTACTGCATCAGATAGAATTAAAAACATCTTTAATAAAATACTGCCGAATGGCAAATTATTGCAGCCATCTTGTTATTAAGAGTGTTCCCTGCTGTTGTTATTTTGATTGGAAAAAAAGTCGTTCTGGAATCCGAAACTTTGCTCGATTTATTTGGCAGATATACGACAAACATCATTTTGATGTGTTTTACTTACTAATCAGCTGATTTTTTAAAAAATAAACAATTGGGTCAATAAATACTTGATGTTGAGCTGATTAATTGGACGAGAATCTTACCGCATAGTTTTAAAATGAAATTTAAAACAAACATACGATTATGAGTTCGATCATGTATTGATTCGACGAAATATTCAAGGACGAATTTAAAATGGAAACAAAACAGAAGTCTGGGACATGAAAAAGGATGGGTCAAATATCCTCACATATTTCACCAATGGGGAATCGTTTTGTTGGAATCATGTATTCTGTGAAAAAGATTTGAAACAACAAGGACAACACCTTAAACAACAACAACTAAAAAATAAAAAAACTGTATCCTTTAATTTCAATTTAGAAATGCAAGGTCAATCACCTGTTTAGCGTTCAGACTCCACAACATTTGAAACACATACACATTTAAATTCTTAATGGTCTTTTTTGTTCCATTCTCTTCCACCACTTAACGGAAAATAAAGGGGTTAATAATTCTCACTATTTTCGATCCGATGCTTGTTGCGTCAACAAACAATTAGTATACTGGGCGGGGGGGGGGGGGGGGGGGGAGGGGGGCTATAGGACATACATGTACCACAAGAACTTTCTTTCTTTTGGCCGATCACCAATTTTTCATACCCGTTTATTATTTCAACTGTTTCGCTGCGACTCAATTTTCACCAACCTACATGTACTAAAAGAAGCTGATGCAGATTATATTTAAGGGATCCAGTATTGGTCAAAACTGTAGATGTCTATGCCGACTTTACCGAAATACGCTTGGTAGATAATTAATAATTAGTGGCACTATTATTAAATGTCTAAAACTTGGACATGGAAAGTATGTAAATGCCTCTGCAGGTTTACATACCAATAAAATTAAATTGTTAACCATATCCCCATATCAATGCCTTAATTTGAAGCTTTCAGAAAAAAATAAGGGATTAATATTTCATCCATTGCCTACACTTTACACCTATTCATAACATACTAAACACAAATATACAGTTATAAACAGTCATAGACACATGTAACAGCTGTGTAAGTACTTAGTGTAAACAGGAAAAGACTCCGGAGTAAAGAAGGAGCTATATCTAGGATGAGAATGAACACGCGTGCCTTGGCCATATAACTTTGCTAGTATGTTGTATTTGTATAGAAAGTCAGTATTTTTTTTTACACCATACAAGAGAAAACCAGTGCTAATTTACGGTTGTGTTCCCCCTCCTCCTCAATAATATTGTCCTGGTCGATGTGCCAATCAATGACCCGACTTGTCCCGAGAGAATAAAATTATGTTTGAAAAAAAATCTTTGAATTACTTTATCAATTTTGCCAAAGAATTTCTGCTGTTCGGTGATCCCCCCCCCGAAAAAAAAAAAAAATAGGGGACCTGCTTTAGATCATACGAGTCAGTGGTCAGTATATTTAAAGCTCAAGCTCAACGTACTGATTTTGTTTATTTTGACTTAAATTACCGACTTCTACGTTTAGATAAAAATTGATGACAGCCGAGTCTTCAACTGAAACTGTAGTGATATGACATTATTTAGTTAAAAAGGTTAAAAAAGGGAGAATCAAGCTTTCGGTGTCTTAGTGGTTGGGATGCCATTACAATGTACATGTATTTATGGTATATTGTAACTGTTTTGATTGTATGTCTTGTCTGTGGATTATACAAAAAAGACATAAATTGTTGAATTAATAACAGTTATTGCAAAGATTTTAGCTTTTCAAAACTACATCAAACTTCAAGATCAAGGTCAGGAGGTCAAATATAATAACACATTCCGAAAGGTCTTGTCACAAGTAATGCACAAATTGATGAAATATTTGAAAAAAATTAGGTCAATCTTGAAGGTCAAGGTCACGGGGTCAAATATCACAGCACTTTCGGAAACATTTTGACACAGATAATGCACTTGTAAAATATGAACGCCCTATCATATGTCATTCAAAAGTAATCACAAGGTTTAGATTTTTGAAAATTAGGTCAAACATGAAGGTCAAGGTCAAAGAGTAAAAAATCATAGCATGCTCGGAAACACCTTGTCACAGGTAATGCACATGTCAAATATGAAAGTCCTAACTATTCTCAATCAAAATATATAAGCAAAGATAAAAATTTTGAAAAGTAGGTCAAACTTTAAGGTCAAGATCACGGGATAAAAAAAAAAACAAAAAACATAGTATATTTGGAAAGGTACACGTGTAATATGAAAGGTTGTCTTTTCTCATTCAAATTTTATGACCAATTTAAAGTAATGTTAAAATTTTTGAAAGGTAGGTCAAATTCAAGGTCAAGGGGTCAAAAATCATAGTATATTTGGAAAGTTTTTGTCACAGGTAATGAACAAGTCAAATATGAAAGCCTTATCTCTTTTCAATCAAAGTTATAAGCAAAGATAAAATTCATAAAAAGTAAGTCAAACTTCAAGGTCAAGGACACAGGGTAAAAAAATAGTATATTTGGAAAGGTCTTGTCAGAGGTAATGAACATGTCTAATATGAAAGCCCTGTCTCTTCTCATTCAAAAGTTATGACCAAGGTTAAAGTTTTTTTTAACAGATAGAAAGACTGACAGATAGATAGACTGACAGACGGACAGACTGACAGACAGACAAACGAGATTTAAAGTCCCCTCACTTTCGCGAAAGCTGGGGACAAAAAATCTTTAATACTTACGCCCACCGAAGCTAGTGCGAGATAATATAAGAAAGACAACTCGCGCGGAAAACTCTCCATGAAAGGAAGGAAGATTTGGTATAAGTTGATGTAAACAGAACGGGACCACCCATGTACCTATGACATGACGAACATAACGTGCCAATTGCTTCATAACAAAATAAATTGCAATGGCACAATATTTGTGGAAGAAGAGGAACCGCTCACATACAACGATGAATGGTTTTGGATATATCTGGGCATTTACGTGGGTCTTGTTTTAGTTGCAGGTGAAAACGAACGTTCTCGAATTTACTCTGCTCTTACTTTCACATTTTCCGGGTGATAATGATTTATAAATAACAATTTACAACTTACATGTATGCTGAAATACCAATTTAAATCGTTGTAGAAATAAAATGGCTATGTATTTTTACTCTATGGAACACCTTGAAGTACATATTTTGCAATATCTTTTTTCTTTCACATATGGGTGAATTAAAAAAAAATGACCAAATGCATATTTATCAACCCACACTAAAAATACAGGCAATGAAAATAGATTTCTATGTCTCAGCATATGTCTTTAGATAGTGTCTAAATACCTGCCAAATATCTGGTTGATATCTCAATTAACAAAAAAGTTATGCCCAAAAATGATGCTAAAATTGTCAGGAGTGCAACACCTTTTTGTGACATTTTGAAATTTCAATATTTTTTGGAGATCTGTGAAATAAATAATAATGCTTTATGTTGAAAATAAAGACTTTCCTGATAATATTCAAAGTATTGAGCTTTAAATGTGGGCTGTAGTAACTTTTGTTTAATCAAGTTGTTGTCATGGCTGATGTTTAAAAAAATGTCATACCATGTCAGGAGTGCAACAGAAAAAATGTAGTGTTGCCAAAAAAACATCAATTGTAAAATTCTGAAAGAAAATTAAGACAAAAAAGAATTTTCGAAGTGTAAAACAATAACTGATAGACATTTTAAAACTTAAAAATGTTATATAAATCACAAGCAGCATTAATTAGAGTCAAGTATATGTGCATACCCAATAATGTCAGGAGTGCAACATTTGATGTTTTGCTCCCAAGCATGAAAAAACTATTATCTTTATATGATTTTCTGATTTTTATTTTGGAAAAGAAAGACACAAAGAACATTTTTACCAAATAGATTTATCAATTACAGGATCTGTCTGTGCTTCAGATCAATATTTCTATGGTCAGGAGTGCAACACATTTTTTTAAAGATTCAAGTTGTGTGACAAAAACACTTCTATTCATGCTTAGACGTATTCATTAATTAATAATGATCTTTTTGTATAATTTAATACTAAATTATTGACAGTTTTATTATTAAAATCCTTCCTTTTTCAATTTTATCAATTCAGATGTGTTTTTGTCTTTTTTGTGATTTTTTTTTAATGAATGTTAAAAATAAACACACTAAAACATTGTCATAAAATTCAAGTAATTCCTCCTCAACTTCACTGAAACAACAGAACAAGTTCCTATGTGATTTTCACTTCACAATTCTACTTTAAAGGTCCCAATACTTTTGGTCAGGAGTGCAACAAATATGTTGGAATTATAAATCATCCAATAAGAATAAAAATAAAGAAAAAATGATGAGTAGAATTTTTCTAGTGGGTTACTGTGTTTGTCCTCTAAAGGAAAATATGCTATAAAATATTTATCTTCTAAATATACATTTAAGCTAGTTTTTTGGCATAAATAGAGAATAATTCCAGATAAAATATGAATTTCAAATACTTTCATCCATTTTAATTATGAAGTATTGGACTATAAATATTGCACAATTTCATTACCACTTCATGTTGCCAACACTTTATGAATTTTTGTGTTCTACGATTTTAATTTTAAATTTTACTGCAGTCTGGAGTGCAACAAAACTGCTTTATAATTACCAATGCTTTTTAATTATCTTTACTAAAAAAATGAGTTGAAAAAAATGTTTGATACTATTTGATGTTCAAAACACTATGTCTATCAACAAATTACAGAAATTTTCTTGTCAATTCAGGGAATAGTTTTCATCATTTCACATATAGTTTTAGATACAATTTATGTATATTACACTTTGCAAATAATCATGTGTTAAGGTCTTCAAAATATGAAAAACCTGCCGTAAACGATGAAAAATATCAAAATGACAAATTAATTTACAAAGTAAGAATGGGTTATTGTGTGTTATAATTTTTAAAACAATGTTAAATAAAATACATATCAGATGTCAGGAGTGCAACACAATAATGTAACATAGGGTCACTTCAAAATCTAGTATTTTTTTAAGAGAACTCGTATATAAAAATTCTTTTTTGGCTTAGATTTAAAGAAATGACTTGAACGGACAAAAAAGTGAAATTTGGGGAATTTTATTGCTTCATATTTTTTTCTTATTAAAACTTTTCAAACCAGAATTGAAAAAATAATGTAAAATAACAATCAAAAAGCCAATTTTTTGTCACACATACAAGAGAAGATACTCAATCAAGGTCTAGATTTGATCATTTATACCCCTTTTACCATTTTGAAGCATAAAAAACTATAATTTCTTGTGATTATGTATTTTAGAAAGTCTTTTAAGGTGTAATGATATTTTCTTTTTTCAAAAGAAATTTTACTAATAAAAATTCTGAAACTTTTTAATCAAATTGTCTATTCTATTGCCACTTCAGGATTTTAAACTAGAATGCATGTGCAATATGATGATATAAGTGAAAAATATTTTAGAAGTAGTTGAATTTTTCCAAAAAAATTCAGTTTGATGGTCATTTTTTTTGAATTCACCCATATACTAAAGTAATTTCCCTTTGCGGGGTCAATCTGGGGTCAACCGGCTTAAGACACCGTTTTCCCTCTATAACATTACCAATTTTACGGGACATGTCTTATAAATGAAATCTGTATATATGAATTTGTTCGTTGTTTTTTATGTTGCCCCATACTATGGCAATACAAGAATGGATCAAAATTTTTTGATACTGTTTAAAGGTTGAAAATATTTACAGGTAAGTTACAAAAGATATAGTGAGAAAAATGAGCATTACACTGACAATGGGAGATAACTCTTACAAATGCGAAATTTGTCTATTCAACATATAGTTGTACTGTGTGTAGCTGCAGATCTGTAGCTCGCTGGCCTGAAAAAATTGGGATGGATGACCAGAGAGCTACAGTGCCATGCATTGAAAAAAGTGCATATTTATTGCACACAATAAAGTGAGCTGTTTCTCCATATATTAAAACTGCCATCTCAAAAAATAACAAACCGTGTGTTCCTAACATATTTTTTCACTACCTCCACAATAAAACATTTCCCAAATCCATTGTTAATAGCCCCCCTTGGACTGAAATTGAGACCATTGAGAATTTTGCCTACCTATACTGCCATCTTGAGTGTCAAGACAAATTGGTCCAATGCACTATGTACAAGACTTTTACATACAGTTTTGTTGTGGAAGTAGTTAAAGAATATGTTAGGAACACACGGTATGTAATATTTTGATGTATACGGACAAATAAATCAAGAAAAAGCACACTTTTTTCAGTAGGTGGCACTGTAGCACTCGTCATCCATCCCAATTTTTTTCAGACCAGCAAGCTACAGATCTGCAACTATACTGTGTAACACATTTTTTTTTATCAAATAGCTATAGTATATTGTAACAACAATAATCCCTTTTCTCAATTGCATTTTTTATCAATTCTGAAGCATTGCATACTGCATGTAAAACTGAAATTCTGATATATATATTATAAGATTAGACAGTACTTTTCTATACATCGTATGCAGTTTGACGAAGGATGATCTATAAAGCATAACATATTCAATTTAAATCTTAAATGAAGTTTGTTCCAAGGTAAACAAAAAGACCAACAGATATACTGTCTGATTACATTGTAATTTTCATTTATGATCATGCATTTTTTTCCCCTCAATCAGACTGAGTACATTTGCATCATCAGACCAGGCTAAGTAAAGGGTTCAGTTATTGATAGATATTTTTTTTTTTGTGAGGGGGGGGTTGGGGGGTTGGGTTAGGGGGATATTGGTTTGGGTTGGTTGGAGGTTAGGAAGTTATCCCTGATGTTAATTAAGAAATGAATTTAAGGACATACGCAATGTAGTTTGAACTTAATTGTCTTTTTCCCTGAAGAGTTCCAATACTCAAAGGAACTGTGTGCTACATTTTAATGTCTATATATGCTATTGTACACTTCTTCTAAAACAAGTTTGGGTCAAGTGCAGTATACGGTATTGTAGTTCCTGCGGATTTTCAGTTTTAACAAAATGAGTAAATAGTCCTCATATCTACCCTATTAAAGTAATGAATATTTATTGTAGTTACATATTTATTCATAACATTTACATAATATACATATTCATTAAATTTTGAATTAACAATAAATATGGGGAAACAGGTCGACAGGTAAGCAGGTCGACAGGTCAGCAGGTCGACATGTATAGATATTCACCACAAATATTCAATTAAACTTGACCCGTTCAAACTTGTTAAATTTTGTTATTTAAATTCTTACTATGGTATCAAAGTTATTTAGATTTAAGGATATCGCATATCATAAATCAAATTAATTTAAATTGATATATTAATATACAACTGAAAGTTTAAATATATTTTTACCAAAATACCACTATTTCATTTGCATACTTGCTGGCTATTCCCGTGTCTGCCTAATAAAATTACATTGACCTGCTGATTTGTCGACCTGCTGACATGTTCACCTGCTTACCTGTCGACCTGTACACATGTTTATTAGCTAATATGCTTACCTGTAGACCTGCTGACCTGTCGAGCTGCGAACCTGTCGACTTGCTGACCTGTCGACCTGCTGACCTGTCGACCCGCTGACTTGTTGACCTGTGCACATTTATTCACTAACCTGCTTACCTGTCGACTTGCTGACCTGTCGACCTGCTGACCTGTCGACCCGCTGACTTGTTGACCTGTGAACATTTATTCACTAACCTGCTTACCTGTCGACCTGCTGACCTGTCGATCTGCTTACCCTTTGACCTGCTTACCTTTCGACCTGCTGACTTGTCGACATGTATACCTGTTGACCCGCTGACTTGTTGGCCTGTACACGTTTATTTACTAACCTGCTTACCTGTCGACCTGCTTACCTGTCGACCTGTACACATGCTCATTTGCTAACTTGCTTATCTGTCGATCTGTCAACCTGTACACGTTTATTTGCTAACCTGCTGACCTGTCGACCTGCTGACCTGTCGACCTACTGACCTGCCTACTGTACACAAATTCATTAGCTTGCCTGCAATTCCCTCGACCTGTATTTTAAACTTTCAATAACAGTTACTGCTTATCTCTTTCACATTGATTTAATTTATTGTTTTAGTTAATACAAATTATTATTCAAATAATTTTAAAAAAATGAATACAAATTAACGTCACATTTTTAAATAAATGCGCCATGTTCACCGGAACTACTTAAATGTATAGTATACTTGGGCCACAAGTTTTGATAAACAAAACATCTAGAATATATGTTTAGTAATTTTTGTATATTTTTCTTTGAATTATACAGGAATTTTCATCAATTGATATCTTTTCAAAACCCCTGGAAATGCATGCTGATTTTTTGTCTACGAACTGCTGATGGCACTATAATCTTAAATTAAGAATATCTTGAAAAATTATCAGTAGGTAAGGTACATTGTGTATGTCCTTAATTTTTGAAGATTCATGAGGACATGAACTACGACACTTCACGCCGGCAGATTTCATGAAGTGTGTTGGCACTTCTTGATAAATATGCAGGTGTGAAGTGTTGTAGTTCATGTACCTCATGAATAAATTCATTTCTTATATTTACATTATTTTTCTGATGAGTTGCCACAAACTACGGTACGCCATTCAACTGTCATTTTTAAAGCAAAAATCAGTTCGCACTATAGTTTTGATGTGAAGTAGGGTATTATAACAATGGAGATATTCATGCTCATCCATGGTAGTTCATGAGAAAATGAACAGTTTTCTATTTTGTAAAGAATCATACGGGAAATTTATTGGAATTGTAAATATTAGAGAATGACTTTGCACTATAACATTTTACTTACACAGGGCTGATGTCAGGATTAACTATGGGTCTTCTCTCCCTGGATCTAATGACCCTTAAAATAATGAAGGAAGGGGGAACACAAAAACAGCAGAAACAGGCCAAGAAGATCCTCCCCATTGTGAAGAAACATCACCTCCTCCTGGTAACCTTACTGCTGGCCAATGCTGCTGCCGTGGAAGCCATGCCAATCTTCTTAGATAGAATCTCTAGTCCTGTGATAGCCATTCTTGTATCTGTCACTGCTGTACTAATATTTGGCGAGTAAGTACCAATGTATTAGGAAGATCTGACACTAGTTTTTGATTGCATCACATTGTGTTTTGATAAAGATGTGAAGGTCTCAGTTTTAGAACATGTTTACTTTATAATAACTTGAATTAATGAAGCAACTCGAAATATAATTTTCGGTCTGAATCAGTAAATATATTCACCCACCAAAATGTCCTGCCATATGATTAGAGCATTCAGATTTTGGATATGATTTTTCAATTGTTACATAATGAAAAAAGCAGGGGAATTTGAAAAAAAAGTTATAATTTTGTTATAATGTAGCATGTCTATGTGTAATGAAGACATATTGTTTGTAAAAGTAGTTGCTAGATAAAGCAGCATTCAGAAATTGTTTAGACATTATTATACCTGAATTGCAGGGTTGTTCCACAAGCAATATGTACCAGATTTGGACTGGCTATAGGAGCAACATTAGCCCCGTAAGTAAACACATAAGAACAGCTGCAAACTTTATTCAATGACTCTCTATAAGATCAACCTGATTTAGTGAATTGCAAAGAACGGTATTTACCTCCCTCTGTTAGGCTTGATGAATATTGCTCTTTGAAGATAGCTGGATGATTTTAGTAATCAAGTAAAACTTACTAAATGAGTAAACATCATATTAAGTCAATTTTTTTCAATTTAATGGCTCTTCGTAAACTCATCAATATGTTTATTAAAGTTTTTAAATGGTTGCTGATCTTTATAACACAATATAATCCTTCTTTCTGCAGAATTGTCTATGTGCTGATGGCCCTCCTATTTATAGTGGCCTGGCCATTGTCCAAGCTTTTAGACTGTGTTCTTGGTGAAGACCATGGGACTTTTTTCCGTCGAGCCCAGCTCAAAGTTCTTGTAGATCTGCATGGTCCCAATTCTGAAGCCAATATACATCACACACAAGATGAAGAGGATGATGAACCGCTGACCATTGATGAAGTTTTAATTATTAAGGTACAAATAACCTAAAAAAGGCATGCATTTTATAGTCCTAATTTGTTTAGGAAAAAAATAGTTAATAAGATTGAGATCAGATGGGTTATATTTTCTTAAGTGTTACTTGATTGTGCCTTTTCATGGAATACCAATGTTTAAAAGCTTAAGGAAAGCTTATACTCTGAAAAGAAAAAGTATGATCAATGCATGAATGTGTAGTGTAAATTTCTTAAAAAATCAGTAGTTTTAACACTAAGAGGGAATTGAGCTTGTTTCAGAAATACATACACTATAGTTTTAACTGGTACTATATAAAGTAAAATCATTCTACATTGTACATGTATATCAATATTTTGATTGGTAGATAATGTGGTGAACTAAGCTTAATGTCTTTAAAAGAGACTCTTGATCTTTATCACGTAGTGGACTCTTGGTGCATGTTTATGAGATTGGAGACGGAAACTTTTACTTACATGTACTTACACTGTATGATCTCCAGAAAAACACAAACCTTTGTACTTTTATATGCAACAGATTATATAAATACTAATCTAATAAATACTAATCTAGTAACAAGTGAATAATCTTTTGAAGAAAATTTCATCATTTGGATTCTGCAGATGATTATAAGAATTAGGGCTGGGTATTGACTAGAGATTTCATATTGCCATGTATTGCAATATTTTTAACTGTATTGCAATATGTACTGCAATTTTTTCAACGCCTTTAAAAATGGCATTTTTTAAATTTTATTATCTTCCATTTACATACAGAATGTACATAACTGTGTCAAATGACCAGGAAAAAATATTTTGTTGATTTAATTACAGCTATGCATTAAAATACACACATACAACAGCTTTTGCCATACTATTTGGCACAATTGCAAACATATTTGACAACTTATACTGCATATCCTATTATAGAAATCCTGAGTCCAAACGTTTTGCCAGTATATCGGTGCTACAAAAATGTATTGCAATACAATATTTTCTTTCATCATACTGCAATATATCAGAATATCAGTATTATTGCCCAGCCCTAATAAGAATCTAAGAAAGTGACCTTGATTCTTTTGTAGGGTGCCCTTGGCATGGAGAGTAAAACCTTGATTGTTTTGTAGGGGGCCCTTGACATGGAGAGTAAAACATTGATTGTTTTGTAGGGTGCTCTTTACATAAAGAGTATAACCTCGATTCTTTTATAGGGTGCCCTTGACATGAAGAATAAAACAGTGAAGGATGCCATGCTGCCCCTTTGTGATGTGTTTATGGTTGATGCTGATGCAGTGATGGACAAATCTACTATGTCTAAGGTTTGTCATATTGTACAATATTTAAAATAAATTATTCTGTATTGGATTAGTATACTGGTTTCATATTTTATGTTGTTTGTCATATTAAACCATTTTCAAAGATTATTTGTTCTGCACTGGATAAGCATACTGAACCATGATTAAGGTTGTTTCAGATACATGTATAATTATTAAACGATGTTTAAGGTAACTTATCCTTCAGCATACCAATGCCATGTCTAAGATGTTTAAAGTTGTTTGTGATATTTAACTATATTTCAGGTAGTTTATTCATTAGCATACTGAGAGCATGTCAAAGGCTGTTTGTCATATTAAACCATATTTAAGGTCTTTTATGCCACACCGGACAAGCACACTGGTACATGTACCATGTCTAAGGATTTTGACATATAAAACCATATTGAGATAGTTTATTCCATAATGGAGAAGCAAACTGGAACCAAGATCAAAGTTGTTTGACATGTACACATACTCCCAGTTGCATAAATAAAAATAATATTTGATAGGGGGCAGTTCATTCACATGGAATATTTTACCAAAACAATATGTTTTAATGCTGCACAAAAAGGAATAACTTGTGAAGTATTTTAAGGTGCTCTCCCTCAAAATCTTAAATGCATCTATTACTACAGCAATTTTGCTTACCTGTCTCTTAAAATATGTCGTTAGTAAGAAATCAATTTGAAATTGTGAAATCATACAGTAAATCACCTTTTCTTTAGTGAGAATGTTATTTTCGTGTAATTATGTGAGACACTGTGCTCGTGAAAATTTAATTCTCATGTATATTAGTATTCCTAAAGAGTACGTATATATCTTTTTTGTACAGTACATATATAAAGCAATAACCACAATTCGTGAAAATTTTGACTTGCTGATTAAGACAAAATGACTAACTTGTGAAAATAAGGTGTCACGAAAATTTAGTGATGTACAGTATTTTCTTTTCTTTACTGTATTTCTAAAATAATCTCTAATTTGTTTCAGATTCTCCATCAAGCTCACTCTCGAGTTCCTGTTTATGAACATCATGCCAGTAATGTGGTAGGCCTCCTACTGGTAAAAAACTACATCATGTTAAACCCAGAGGACAAAACCCCAGTCCGAGAACTCCTGAAGAATGAATGCACTGGAAACCTGTTGCACGTCAATGACGACATGCCTCTGTATGATCTATTAAACATGTTCCAAACAGGAAAAAGTAAGAGGATTATCAATGTAAATGAGAACTCTAATGAAATTAGGCTAAGACTTTATCAAAAGATGTGTAAGAGTAAGATTTCCATAAATTTTCTGTATTTACAACAGTCAAAAAAAAAGATTTCCATAATTTTTTTATTCTGAGCTGATTTTGTATACATACGTATTTATTTTCCCTTAGACTGAAATGTCGCACTTTCATTGGTTTAAATGTGACATGTGACTGTTGGCTATATTTCTTTGTCCTGTAAATGAGAATTATATCCAGAAATATGAATGAATCCTAACCATTCTGATACATGTACTAGGAGTCATTTATTTCAGTGTTTATGGTTCTCATGAAAATAAATCCTTATTAGTTTTATTACTGACAATCTATGGATTCCAAACATATTGTATTAATGAATCTCACAGACAAACCTGATATATTTCTGTAGACAGTCTATAACAAACCTACTAAGTAGTATTGTTTGGTGGTCTATAACTTTAGCTTTGGTCACAACTGTTTAAAATATAAAATGTCAGAGTCTACATCACCATTCTTGAACAAAAGGTGGATTTTTATATATAGTAAGGTTTTGTTTGGGCTATATTACCTCAATTGAATGAGTACATGTAATACTGTAGATGAGGAATTTATTTGGTAATTTTTTAAGAAGCACCCCTAATAAAATTTAATTACTTGCTTTTATTTTTATTTTGCTGAAATAAATGTAAAAACTCCACACCAACAGTCCAGTCATGAATTCATGTTCTCATGACTTGATGTCTAGGGATTATTTGCACTATTATATTGTAAGTACTCAGAATCAAGTGTTATCTGTGACTTTTCCACTTTAGGCACATAATTTTTCACATGAATTGATTTTTATTTTTTTTTTTACAGGTCACTTAGCATTTGTGAGAAAACACACACAAGTAACAGAGACAGATGAAGGATATGAAGTGGAATGTCTACCAGAGTCAAACGAGGTCTGGACAATTAATGATAAAATTAATTTTTCCCCTCAGCATTTGCCAAACTGAGCAACTGAATAGGATGCATTGTCATTGCATGCATGATTATGTTGAAGTATCATGTGCATATATTACAGATTGATAAAATTAAATGTTTTAATGATTTTATTTATTCACGAGAGTTTGGATAAAGACACTCAAAATTTTATACTATCAAGATTATAAATGATTAAAACTTAAAAAAAAACCAGATGTCAATATACAGTCAAACTCCGTTATCTTGATTGAACTGAGAAAATACTTCGACATAGCCAAGGATTTGAGATATCCAGGGTAAAATACATAAGAAATACATGTACGCCTTTGGGACTTCCAAATCACTTTGACATATCCATGCATATGGTATTTGAGATATCAGTATCGAGATATCGATAATCAACTGTATGTATTTCCTTTTGTCTCAGATCATTGGAATAATAACCTTGGAGGATGTCATAGAGGAATTAATTCAGGAGGAGATAATCGATGAGACAGACGTTTACGTAGATATACACCAAAGAATACAGGTCGCCAGGGCAAAGTCCGCTAGGAGAAATGTAAGTCTTTATTTGATTAATATAACCTCCAGTTTTCATGCTACTTTAAAGTTATTTTCTTTTTAATTTATCCATGCATATTTGTTAAGTGTTCACATTTTGCATTAATTCAGTAGACATTTGAAAGAGGTTTTGTCTTCTTGTCACTTTCAGTGGTTTATTTATTTTTTTTATTTACTTTGAATTAATTACCGGTAACACCAATTTGACAGAATGTATATATCTGGTAAAAATACTAATACTTAGAATAATCTTTATTTTTTCTCATGATTATATATTATTTTATATACATGTGTCTCTGCTTTTATTCTATTTGGTAATAAAATTAAAAAACATTATATTCTTCCCTGTATTGATTCATATCACCCTACCTGTTATGTGGATATTGAAAAAATATTTTGAAATATTCCAGCTCTATGTACACAGTTGCTTTATTATTTTACACATAGATGCTTATTCGACTACACTCCCGCGAACATGACAGGAGTAATCTCCCCTCTGCCAGTACTGAGTTAGATGATTTAGTGAGTGGTGACTTATGTAGTCTTTGTTGTCTCCCTTGATCTCCAATAGCTTATAGCATGATGACAGTTAAAATGTGATGTTCTGTTTATACTAAGTGAGCATAAGCTTATAAATCTCTCCAAATCTGCAATTGACAGACTGGCTATTATTTATAACATTTCTCAATCTCCATCATTAAAAAAATGTATATTATAAATTAGTGGTTTTGTTTTGATACCCATGTAGATTCTTCCAGAGTAGAATTTCCATTATTTTTCTAAATTACATAATTTTTAGTCAGGAATTAGCAAATTTGTTCCAAAAAAGATGAACTGTGTACTACAATGTATATGCTTATAAGCTTTTGCTAAGTGATAATCTGCCAAACTGCCAAAAAGAAAAATCCCAAAATCAATTGTAATAAATATGCCATTGAAGAATAAATCCCTACAATCTTGTGGTATAAATCTATATTCTTTAGACTAAATATAATGATATTGTGCCATTATAATTTGTAATACCTGATTCTGCAATGTTTTAATGCTTCCAATTGTATTGAAAGCTAGGACAACTAAAATCAGATAAATATGCTTTTCATTCAGGTTCAAAATGTCATGGTTCAGGCTACTGATTTTTGTAGGCATAATTCTGCTGATATTTTAAAGCACAGTTTACATGAGTGATGATCGATGCATAAATCTTTATTAATAATTTTGTTTTTCTGTAAAATTAGTTTGAGAAAAAAAATTAGGAATCTGTGTTTAATTAATGAATGAATTGTAATTTTGACTTTGAAATTTGAAGAATTATATATAACAAGGTGTAGAGAAAGAACCTCACTTAGAATATATAACCTGTTAAAAATTATCATAGGGATATGTTAACTTAACTATCAGGTTCACCATATTTTGCATGTACATATAGATACATTTGCATTGTTATAAAGTGTTGTGATGGTGAGCAAGAATGCTGAAAAATGATTAATCTTTCATGTGTATAGGAGCAAGAATACATTTTTACTGATATTACAAGTCAACAAGAAAGTTCAATGCTTATTATGGGAACTTGCATTTACAAAAATTGTTTTTTACTTTAAAAGTAAGCTGCTTCATTGCTTAAAAAAAGCTTATGAGCTTGAAAAACAATCACTAATGCTTTTATAACAAAATTAAAGTTTCATTCAACTTTAATCTACATTGAAATGCTTAATATCTAATCAGCTTCCTACATGCAAGTGATTATATATTTTCAATTTAGACATTCAATATTTAGATAAAAAATGTCAATAATTTTCGTTATCTATTTTTTTATCCTGTTTCAAGGTATGATTGTAAACAGAAACTAAAATAACTGATTTTCTGTTTACAGGCCTGTCAGGCGATGATAAAAAGTAAATCACAGCCGGCCTTGAAGAGGTCCCCCATAAAGAGGATGGTGTCAGGGTCCCTCCCAGAGGACAGCAACATGCACCCCCCACAGGAAGACGATGACCAAGCTCCTCTTCTACGCAGTGTGGTCTTCACCTGAACGCAACTACTGTACAAACTTCCAACTACATTATACTGTAGAACTTCTGATCTACTGATCAAGTTCTTCTTCTACAGCCTGGTTTTCACCTGTACAGAACTACTGTAGATAGTTCCTCACATATAGATCAATATTATACTGTAAAAATTCCTTTTGTTGATGTAATTTACAGTAAAACTTCTTGGTGCATTATTTAATTGGTGTTTAAGTTACATGTAATTGCCATGAAGACCTAGATGGCTATGTATTTATGCAGATATAGATAAGTGTAAGATTCCCTTACTCAGTTCTAAATAGCTGTAATCACCTTCATATTGTATATTACAATCATTCAGAATAGATATAAATTACTGTAAAGCATCTTTATTGAGTACTAGAAAGCTGTAGACATTCCTTATACTGATTTTGATTACAGTAAACTTTTTTAGAACTTTTAATTGTTGTAAAACTTCTCTTAATTCAGAGTCTTTTAGGTCAATGCAACATTTTATTTAGATAATAGATTTCTTGAGACAGAGTGAAATAAGTGCAAAATTGTTTTTATACAACTTATGAATGTAAAAATTATATTTACAATATTTAACTGTGATAATTAGACATAATATAAAAGCAACCATCATTATTGTTCTTATGTCTGATTTTCACTACCGGTATTTTGAAATCTGATTTGTACAATTTAAACAGATTAAGGGGCCACAATTGCAAATGTAAACATGACTTTGTTCTTTTTTTCTTTTTATCTGCATGTGTATTTCCTTTTATATCTATATGTATGGATTATATATCAACATATGAAGAGTTCATACATGTATTATCAAGATGGTTACAAATTTATAAGTACTTATGAGTTCTACAAACTTTGTTTTCATTATTTTTAAATTACTGGGTGTACTTTTTCTATTTATATATATCCTTATTATTTTTAGTGCCAATATTTGTTTATTAGTGTTTATTATATCTTGCACAATCATCTTAATACATACAATTTATCACCATGTGATGCTTAGATTTTCATAACATGTAATATGCACTAGTTATCAACTTGTGACAAGTTTAATACTGCAGTTACTGTTTACATTTAATGCCTTATTTTAGCAAATTAGCAAGTTATAAATTGTATTTTGAATAAGTGTATATTCAAATTGTTAAAATAAGTTTTGATTAATGCGGTTTGAAACATTAGTTAGTAATAATATTCAATGATTTTTTTTTCCCTCTCAACTTTATCATGTATCCAACTTATTTTAGTCACGAATCACTGGAGGAGAGGGTATTATTGACTAACAGTATTAATGATCAAACTCTTTTATTGTATGAAAGACTCAAAGAGCAGATGTCTTGCAAAGACAACATTTATAGATGTTGGTGAGCATGAGTTAGTCATTAATCTTGCATATATATGTTCATCTTATTTTCACTCCTTTATACAGTTAATATTGTTTCGTAAACAATTTTTCAAAATGCTACTCTTTCAACAGTTTTGGTCCGATTTCACTATAATTTGGTAGATAGCGATTTTTGAAGTCTGATGAATAGGGTTATGTGTTGCCATGGTTACTAAAAATAGAAATTTTTTGAAATTGTTTCAAAACGCTACTCCTCCTAGAGATCTGGCCTCGAGACCATAAACTGAGAACAAACTTAAGTCAAAATTTTGATTTTGAATATCTTGAGTTTTATTCAACATGCATACTTAAAAATTTGCAGGTTTGTATAATATTCTAATGTAAACATATGATGAAAATTTTGTTCATTATCAAAATTATTTCAAAAGTTATATTGATTTGAAATTTTGACTTAAGTCTGTTCTCAGTTTATGATCTTGGGGGCTGGTCTGATTTCATCACAAGTAGCCTAAACTAAGACACATAACTCTGTTTATCCTTTTAATTTTTTGATGAAGGGTGTTGCCATGGTCACTAAATTTTTTTCGTGAAATTCTTTCAAAATGCTACTCTTCCTACAGTGTTGATCTGATTTCAATAAAACCTATATATTAAGTAGACTGCATTAAGGTACATAATTCTATATATCAGTTTTTGATTTCAATGAATGATGTTGCCATGGTTACAAAAAAAAAGAAATTTCTTTGAAATTATTTCAAGATGGTACTTTTAGTACGCGTACAGTTTTGTTTTGATTAAAAAATCCTTTTTAAACAAGTACCGGTAAAGTATACTGTGATACATAGTTCTGCTTACTAATTTTTGATTCTGATGAACAGTTTTGCCGTGGTTACTTTAAACAAAAATTTTTATAAAAAGGCTCTTTGTAAAGGCTAGTTCTCCTACAGTTTCATTCTGATTGCTATAAAACTTTATTGCCTTTCAAAGAGACTAAGCCAATGATCATTAATATGTTCATTGCTGTTGTCATAGTTTCAAGTCCAAGTGCTTTCTTATAAGTACATACCAGTTGGGCTACAATCTCATCAGAGACTTCTGGTTTTTATTTTTATCCAACTTGTGTGTTTCTATCCCATTGCCAAGGCTAATGGATTAAAAAAAAATGAACAGAACTTGTTGGATAAAAATCTTGATAAACTACAAGTTATGGGAGATCGTATGTTTTTCACATCAAAAAGAATAGCTTATTATTTAATATCAAAAAGAAATTTTCGGTCTTTAAAAATCCAGGAAGATTTATTGTTTTCTGCACTGCACAGTGTGCAGATAATGAAATCTTTTTTTCTTTTAAAATCTAATGAATCAGAATTTTGTTAATTTCTTGAACTGTGATATGTATTCGAACGAGATCTGATTTCAAGCATATAACTCTACCTCAGTAAAAGACCATATGTGACAATACTATATATGAAAAAATTCATATGTAATTAAAATGAATTTATAGAATTTGTATGAAACCATCTTTTTATTTGAAAAATAAGGTCTTAGAGAAGTAATATATTTGTTGAAAGGTTCTGAACAATTACAAATCATATAGAACATTGTAAAGAATGCACTGTGATATATAAAGAGATACTGGTTAATCTTAATGAATCTATAATCAAAAGAATACGTAAAGTATATACTGTACTTTTGATTTTTTTTCTTCATTCAATCTCTAAATTAGCACAATAATATATATACAGTTGTATATTCAAATACAACATTGATCATTCCTATTCATAACATTACTTAGATGAACGTCGCTGGCATGGCGCAGTGGTTACATGTAGAGCGTTTGCTCTAGAGTCACCGAGTAAGGAGTTGAGCGGGTTCGAATCCCACTGTTGGACGTGGAGACCGGTCCTTCAGATGAGACCACATAAACCAAGGTCCTGGGTCGCAGTAGGTGCTGGCACGAAAATGTTCCCTCACTGTTCAATGGCCCTGAGTGCCGAGTATAGGTTAAAATTTGCAGCTCTCCACCGGCAAGTGGTGGCGTCTCTATATGAGTGAAAAATTCTCGAGAGGGACATTAAACAACAAACAAACAAACTTAGATGTACATGTATGGACACTAATTTTTTAATTACTTTTTGAAATAGAAAAAAATGCATTGAACAATTACCTCTTCATACCAAGATATCCCTAGAATGATCCTGTTTATGATGTACATAATTATAAAAATATCTACTTTCAAAGGTAGATAAATTCAAATTACAAAGAAATATAATTTTTCATTTCTTAGGCATTGATTATTAATTAATTGCTTATTGTAATATCTGTTTACCGTATATTCCACAGATAAATCATGTAAATTTAATTTCAATTTGAATTTTGAAATAAACTGTTTTTTTTTAAAGGTAATGTTATTATACATTTTATGTCATTTTAATTTTTGTGATGTATATGCACGCTCAATCATGCATATTAAAACCACATAACCATATGTATTCTCTTAAGATACCTTGGGGGGGGGGGGGTTAAATAAAATTAGTTTATTACTGCTCATGTATTTTTTTCTTACCCACCCTGCTCCTTTGATATGAAAAAAAGGAGAAAGATTAAACGTTCATTAAAAAGGTTGCATTCTCTCAGAAATAATTTTCCAAAAATGATTAATTACAGAAGCACATCTTTACAGTTGTTGAATATGGAGCATCAATATTGATTACAATGTACTATCATGACCATTGAAAGATATTTAAGAAATAAATAACAAGTTTAAAAACTTCAATGGGAATTGAAGTGGGTCGGTCACGTGATCAAATCCTGTGAAGGCCGAAGGCCTTCTCAGAAGATTTGATCACGTACCGACCCACTTCAATTCCCATTGAAGTTTTTAAACTTGTTATTTATTACTTATATATACATTTGAGATGGACAATAGAATGTAATCGAATATAAATATTGCACTAACTGTACGTCGTAGATTTTGACAAATGACGCTAGGTGTAAATTGGCTTGAAAAGCGGTTACGCTTCAAATTCATCTGGCAAAGGATTCTGTTTAGAAGGGAATATTCTGTGAAAGGCTACTTGTGATCAATTATAGTGAGCATATTGGTGTCTGGGAATTTTTGTATTCATGAGAACCCATATTCGATGTTAAAAAACACAAGAAACACGTCCGATGTTTGATAATAAAAAGTTGGAGGAATTTCGGTCGGAAAGGGATGGATGGAGACACTTGTCCGGACCAGATAACTTGAAATCAAGTACAAAATTTGATCAAAAACATAAAATGTACGATTTCAGTAAGGCATATTTATTAATTTATGATGTTGACATGGAGACACTGGCGACAGCTTACATTGTTAAGACAACGTCACAACGATCTCGATGATGGAGGTGTGCCTACCGAACTTCCAAATTGCAGTGTTTGTTAGCTGTTTGTGGCGTGATTGCATTACATTGATATTTTTCAACACAAATTTATTGTGAGTAAAGTTTAATGAAAAAAAAATTATAGCATTCAGAGGTCTGCGAGAAAAATAAGGGTAAACGTTGAGACTATGCAGCTCAGACATGGAACTTAGAACATGTAGCTTTCTATTCTCTATGTAAAACCGATCAAAAACTGTATTAAATACTCGTTTACATTGTAAATAAAATGATTATTATTTTACTTGCGTATTTTGTACATTTTTGTGCATGAAAAACATGCTATATTGCTTAGTGGAGTAGATATTACTGCGCTGTGTGATTAGGTCACGTAATGACCTATGACCTTCGAAAAACTTCATACAGGTATGAAGATATTTGCTCTCTGCATGTTTATATAATAGAGAGATACCACAAATGTATATATTAATAGGTGAAAACCACAAGGACCTGTCTTCCGGATTGTTGAATGTAAAATGAATAAATTTTGAATCTACTTTAAATAGACTTTAAAAGTTGTTATAATAAAGACTATGACACTTTCAGACAAGAAATGTCATGTTTAGAAAAACGTACTACACCTATATACATAAACAATGTAGATGTGGTTTATTACATCTATATGTATATAGTTTTCTCTTAAAACATTGTCAGCTATGCCTGAACACAATTTTTTATTGTTCCGTAATTTTTGTTTCAGTTCTTTTCCAGCGATGACTATTGTTGCATCGATCAGATTTGCTGAAACATTAACAGATGAAAGAAGTTATGAAACACTTTGTGATTCTGAAATTTCTGTTTGCATGTAAACTTTTTAGAATTAATTTAATATGTAGAAACTGGTTATTTTAGGGAGCCCCGATCTTTCAACTGGCGTCATAATCTCATAAATATTATGAATTCAGTAAAAGAAATACGCCAGACGATGGACCAAATATGAAAAAGAAGACCTTGCCACTTTGTCAGAATGGATTAATATATTTGATGGATGTTCATGTTGAAATCGCGCATTAAGCGATTGAGGGGCAATATGAAAACAATACCGGTATATCCTTCTGTCTTCGACAATGCAGAAGTGAAACAAGAATTAGATAGATTACACGATCAGTATGTACAGGTCCCCGCTGACAAAGCAGGTAATAACATTGTCTTTGTAAGGCTCATTATTTGAATTGTGTTTTAGAGGAACTAGAATTTAATTCTGCAAGTGGTAATCCAACATGTACCCATAGTTCCCTCTCTAAGGAGGAAATTCTTCAAAACCATATGCCAGTTTTAAATATTTTTAATATTCCTAACGATCAAAATGAACTTGAATTACCACACCTACACTGGATTCCAAAAACTTCATAAAAATCCTTACAAAGATGCATAGCGAGTTCCAGTAAATGTTCTACCAAGCCTCTTTCTTTACTCCTCGCTAAAATATTTACAGCAGTGAAGAAGAAACTTCAGGAGTACTGTACAGCAGTATATTCGAAAAGTGGTGTAAATTAGATGTAGATACATAAAAATTCCATTAAGAAACAAAAAAAAAATGAATTAACTTTATACAACCATTCCCCATGAAAAATTAAAGTCCAGGCTTTTTGACAAAGACAGCTGCTTTTTCAATAAAAAAAAAATGGAACTCGTAAATATATTTACCTTGTCATTGGTCATTTGCAAAATTATTTTGTTAAAAAACATTCTGATTGTACACACAAGTACTCTGAAGTTGATATTAAAAAGATGCTTGAGTTTCTGATTGATACTATCTATGTAGTTTTCGGAGATCAGGTCTTCCAACAATCCGTTAGAATTCCCATGGATACCAATTGCCCCCCCCCCCCTTTAATTTAGCAGACCTATTTTTGTATTCAAGTGAATCAGAATTTATTCAAAAACTTCTACATGAGAAGAAGAGAACACTTGCTATGGCCTTCAACTCGACATTGAGATATATCGACGACGTATTATCAATTAACGATCGATAGTCACTACCATTCATATGTCGATTCGATATATCCCAGTGAACTTGAAATTAAAGATACCACAGGGTATGACACATCGGTTTCATATTTGGATATTTAGCTAGAAAATGACTGTAATGGTAACCTAACAACAAAGCTTTATGATAAACGTGATGACTTCAATTTTTTAATCGTCAACTTCCCTTACTAGCAATATACTCTTATCACCTGCAAATGGGTTTTTTGTCTTCCAGTTGATTCGATACGCATGCTCTACGTATGAACAATTTCTAAAACGAGGCAAGCTATTGACAAACAAGTTGATGAAGCAAGGGTATCAACAGTCTCGTTAGACGTGATCATTTTGCAAGTTTTATGGTCGATACAATGACCTTGTCAGCAAACACAACCTTTCATTGAGTCAAATGCCGACGAACATTTTTCATACTCATTGTTAGGCCATTATTTACAAACTGAATTGTCTATAGACTTTCCCGTTTTTTTCTCGGTCACGACAAGGAACACACGGCGGGTGTGACCGGTCGGCAGCAGATGTTTACTCCTCCATGGCACCTGTTCCCACCTCTGATTTTGTTTTAGGTTTTTTGTTTGCTTTGCTCCCGATTTGTATTGTTGAAATGGACTTTGAGCTTGAATACTGTTCGTTATCTCCATATTTCATTATAAAAGGATGCTTATGCAAGACCCTACTACACGTACATTTGATTGATTGAAAATAAAAAGTCAGCAAAGATTTGTATTAAGAAGAGTTGTATTCTTAATACAGTTCATAATTAAGATTCAAAAAATAAAAATGAGAAAAGGAGTATTTAATTTTCCACTAACTTCAAATTACATTTTTCCACACATTCTTTAAATCCTCTCTCTCTCCCTCTCTCGATTGGAGAATACGTCCAGATTTTACAGGAAATTGCAAAATAAGTAAAATTTGTTTTGCAATTAATAGGAGACTTGTACAAACTGTTAACAAATTTCATTGGCATATTATTTAGAATATTACATGTCCTTTTTAAACCATTTTAAAAATAATTTCTTTCTTTAGACAATTTAATGTGTAATCAAAATAAAAAAGACCTATCTAATGATTAAATAAATATAAGCAAATATCCTCAAAATATGATCAAAATGGTAAGAAAGCAGAACAAGTGACATCCCTTCAGAAATTTATATAGTTTGTGAACTTCGTTATGAGACGGGTGCGATGGAACTAGTCTGTTTGAAAAAAGTAAAAATAATTAAATTAAAAAAATCAAGCGTTACAAAAAAAATGTAAGAGTCTATTCTTACTTAAGGAATAAGCAACTGGGACTTCAAAATCACTTCGACATGTCAATGGTATTCGAGATATCCGTGTTCGAGATATCGAAGTTCAACTGCATGTATATATATATATATATATATATATATATATATATATATATATATATATATATATATATATATATATATATATATATATATATATATAATGTAGTTTCGATTTAAAGCCTGAGAGATGATGTTCTTAACCTGCCAGTGCTCCTTCTGAAATTGAAGTCTTTCAGTAATATTAGATATTCTTCAATGTGAAAGTTACTTTTAAGCTTAGCATAAGAATCAAGGTTTCAGAAAGAGGTGTGTGTGTGCTCTCAACTTACATAACTTTTTTTTTCAGTTAGGCATCCATGTCTGAATTCTTAAAAAAAATGACTGGTTGATTTGTGGTCTGGAAAAACCCAGTATCTAAATATAAACTGATAAATTTGAATACATATTATTGATCTGTGTATGTTTTCTGAAAATGAACGTTACGTCATTCTGCAGTATTGTTCGTTGCGACGGTACTATTCGCACTGGAAAAGAAACAAAAGTAAGGAAACTTTGAGGTAAGTTGATCAATATAACACTCATTAAGTTATATTACATGTATACATATATAACAAAGCTATGAAAAAAGTTTCTTAGTTCGGAAAAAAAGTCTTCTTTTGGAGGTTTGCCAAATATAAGAAAAACAGTTGAGAGAGAAAATTAGATTACTTGCTATCAAACTGAGTATAGTTTATTAATCTATGAAATATTTATTTTATTTTTTCTCATGGTAAGGGAAAGTATGTGTGGGTACTTTTGAAAAAAATGTATTTGAAATTTCCCTTTCGGAAAACTAGCTGTAATTAATCGGTAAGACAAGCTATAATTATTTATTGTCCCTTCATAGTAAGGTTCCGATTCATTCTAGAAAGATTTTTATGTAAAGCCAATCGGGCTTTAAATCAATTCATGTACAACGGGTAGCATAAGCTATATATACATGTTCTTATTACTTATATAATATACTCATGAATTCATATCTTTTGATTGCTCATCTACAAAATAACCTTTCTAAAAATCACTCTGATTCTACACTCAAGTACTCTGAAATTGAAGTTTAAACGATGCTTCAGTTCCTCATTGACAAAATCCATGTAGTTTTCGGAAACCAGGTCTCCTAGAACTTTGTTGGAATTTCAATTGGAACTAATTATGCCTCTTTATCAACTGACCTGTTTGCATATCTTTTATCAGAAAGTAGCAAAATTTATTAAAAACTTTTACATAAGAAGAAAACTTTTGCTGTTACTTTTAATTCAAAATTTCCATATATCGACGACATTTTTATCAATTAACAATAGCAACATTCATTCATATGTCAACTCAATATATCTCAGTGAACACCAATTAAAAGACACCACAGAGTCTTCATACTAGGCTATTTTACTGACGACAGACGTTAATGACCAAACTAACGAGTAAACTATCTGACAAACAGGATGACTTCAGCCTTTCCCTATTAATGTAGTAATGTTCTGCTATCACCTGTATATAATGTTTATGATTCCAACTGATTTGATACTCATAGAGCATGTTCTGAGTGCGATCATTTTCTAAACAGAGGAATATTACTGACAAATAATTTGATTTTACAGGGTTGCAACCTTTTCGTTTAATCTCAGCATTTCGCAAATATTTTATTACTCCTTTATATCGAATATTTCTCAAAAACTATTCAATATTCAAATTTTAAATTTTCAGGATAAGTATATACATGAATTGTATTCGGCAGGATACGATATATTCTAGAAATAAGTTTATATATATATATATATATATATATATATATATATATATATATATATATATATATATATATATATATATATATATAAATTTCAATTTGAATAAAACATCTGAAAGGGTTGTTATTTGAAAATGATCCAGTAGATATTCTTTTGTATGATTCGAATAGCCCAAGATATGCAAATACCCTACTTTTGTATTTAAATGTTTATAAATAACTACACATCATAGCTTGTTATCTGCAATCAACATGTACCTACATGGTCTATAATGATTTGTAAAGAAGCGGGAATAAAACTTTGACGTAAGATGATTATGAGTAAAAAAAATATATATATAGGAACAGTAAATTATGAAAACGGCATCAAAAAGAATATTTTTTTATAAGGTGTAGTACACTGTAAAATAAAACGTAGTATTCTTCGTTTCTAAATATATCGCGGTACTAAAAAAAGTCATTACATTGTAAAAGAAAAAAAACTTCTACATTTCATCAAATGCTATTCCTAAAAAAAAAAAGTAAAAGATTTATTTTTTAACATATAAAATGCCTGTAAGATATCACAACTTTCATAAATGGCCATTTCTATAAGTATATCTATCATTTTAGAATAAGATTAAATCCCATGACATATTCAATTGTATTTTTCTTAACGATTTTAGATTTCATTCCGAATGGGCATAAATTAGAGCCTTTCATACAGAGCCTTTCTTATTGAGTGGAATTATATACCTTTTTACTTATTCCTACTTTTTTTCTTTTCAAAATAATATCAATTAAATTGAATACGAAGTGATAAACCATGGGCAGAAGAAGGAAAAGGAGAAATCCGAAATTTGAATATCGGAGACAAAATCCTGATATATTTCCCCATTTCTGTGAAATATGCACGCCACAACGTCGTTTTAAGGAGAAGCCAGCTTTGGATCAGCATGACAAAATGAAACACCCTTTTCCCGAATTGGCAACACCACATCCCTGTTTATCCTTTGATTATTCTGTGCAAAGGATACATAGTAATCTGATGTATTCATCAACAAGCTCACCTCTTGGCACATTGTCAGCGAGTGAACTCCAAACATTTGTGACTAATGAAATAGAACCTGACACAGCCTACAATTCCAGTTGTAAAGCAGTTGTACACCGCCTTTGTCAATTCATGCAAAACAACTTTCCAGCTAAACTGAGACCATCAGAAGTTGTCAAAGTAAGCTCGTGTACATGTACATGTATGTTGACATTGCATAGCCTGCTAAATTTTTAAATTCATTCTATAATGATTGTTAAAAAATATATATTACACAATCGTTGTTTTATAAAAAAAAAAAAAAAAAAAAAAAAAAAAAAAAAAAACTTGAAAAGTAAATAAATTTTTGTTAAAAAATATTGCTAATTTTCGAATTTGAAATAATCCCATTTGAAATAAAATCGATCCAAATAAAATTAAATACAAAAGTAATGAAATAATGAAATTTCTGTCTGAAGTTGCCACCGAAAAATTCATAATTGAAAAAAAGCTCATACAAAATATTCACAACGTAATCCAGTTTTCAAACATTAAACCACATTTCAAAAGCGAAACATACATTTGTATTGATTCTTCTTACGTGGTTCACTATAAAAGGCATAATAAGAGATAGGAAAATTATTCAGAAAGTAAAATCTAGGTCATGGTATATGTATGAGGAACACAAGAGACCCTATGTAAAATTTTCCACAATAGTTGTTCGGTGTCAATGTTAATGGAGTTTTCAATGAATCGTGGATTTAAAATGTAAACAGTGAACTTGTATGTTGACAAGAACGGATAAAAAAGTCAAACTTTTCAGTACTCCTTCCAACTCCGTTTCCGGAAATTTCAAAACAAAGACATGTAACTGTTCAATGTATGCAGAAGTTGATAAACATGTCATTGCTTTTTTGTGGTATATTTAATAAATGCTGATCAAGTTAAATCGATCAAAAAAATGGAAATAACATTTTGTTTGAAAGGTCTATCTACTGTAGAATTACTGAAGGAAATACATTAAAAGATATTTCTAGATATGACTTATCTCATTCCTACCCAGACACTAATACATTGTTAATTATGAAATTCACATTTCATTACTTTCATCTATTTGCTTTAATATTTAGCTAAAAATCTGAAACGGTCACTATATTTCATGTATAAACTAAATTAAAACGACACATTTTTTTCCCCATATTTTAGAGTGGATCTCTTGGAAAAGGGACGGCAGTGAAAGGCAAGTCTGATGCTGACCTTGTCGTTTTCTTGTCCAATTATGACTCTATTTCTTCCTTGAAACAAAACTTACCAGAAATTTTAAAGGAGGTTGAAACTTACCTTGGTTCCTATGGCGATTGTACTATTACTGGTAAAACAATACACGCCGTTCAGATTTCCTTGAGTTGTCATGCCAATCATTACCATGATGTGGACATCCTACCAACTGTCAACATATTGGCCAAACGTATGTGAATACCTAGACATCAATCATTATATTTCTTTATTTTGTGTTCAAAATGGCTTTAAAGAAGAGGCGTTTTTCAAAATCTTTAAAATAATATGTGATGAGTAAAATTTCTTTGGCTAGAAGCAAAATACTTTATGTTAATATTAGTATAATTAAAATACATGTTCACTATCAGGAAAAATGAATTTCTTCTAACTTGAACTAGTTGAGAGGTAGTGTAATTATTCAAGCTGGTTCATTAGTTGATGAAATTGATCAGTTTCATTTATTATTGTTATGATATATCGTTTTTTTTTTTTTTAAATTCAAATTGTTTAAATATTTTATATTCTAGAATCGAAAAGCCAAATTTATGCCGAAATGAAGTTGAAAACACTTCATGATCAAGGGTTTTATTCTGCACCATTGACTCCGCTACAGATTGAGTTTGTATCCCATGTTCCAGCAAAAGTCAAAACCCTTATCCGATTGGTGAAATACTGGAAAAAGACCGAATTAGCGGTACTTTTTGAAACAATTTTTCTCGGCTCATTTTAAGTATTATCCAAAGCAATTTTAAATTTTAGAACAAATTAACAAATGTTGAAGCAAGTTGGCAAGATTCGTAAACCATTGATATTTTCAGTATTTACATAAGATATTATATGAATCATCTTTCCTTTAAGCAAACGGTATCGTGTATTATAAAAAATTCATTATTTATTTATTTTAAATGTTCCTCATTTTCTTGTTATCAGTGAGAAATGTCCTTGAACACTACTTGGTTACTCAATAGTATCTACATGTACTGAACCGACTTAAACGAAATCATTTTTCAAAAAATAAACTTTGCAAGTAAACAACAAGAAAGGGAAGACTTTTGTGTTAAGCATCCATAAAATAAGATGAAATTTTAAGTTCGAAAGGGGTAAAATGATAGATTGTTCTATGTAATTGAGATATTTGGCTCATTCATGGATCCATTCCGCATTCTGACATGATTTAATGTTTTTCTTTGTAGAGAATTAAAGGGAAACCTCCGGTGTCTTATCTCCTTGAACTGATAACGATTGGAAAATGGGAGATGGCCGGGAAACCACAAAATTTTGAGCTTAGGAAAGGATTTTTCCATATAATTTCAGCTCTCGTGCAGAACAGATATTTGGAATTGGCATGGAACACAAATTATAGAGCACAAGATTACACAAAGTTTTGGTATTAGTTAAAACCATTTCATTTTATTACCTGCTAGAAATTACCACATGTAATTCCCCACGATCTTGCATTAACTACATACGTACTATACCTTATTGAACTCTCTTATGTTTTCTTTTACAGCACAGTTCCTTATGTATTAGACCCTGCTCATCCATTCAACAACGTAATGGGCTCCTGTAAATGTTGGGAGGAGGTAGCTTACATGGCAAATTTGTTTCTTACTAAAGAACTTTTCCAGGGACTTTCTTCCTTAAGTGGATGGCTGTAAACGAATAGCAGCAACCTATGACCAAGAATATCCAAGTTTCCCATTTATCATATTAAGAGGCAGTCCACCCAAAAACCAGGCAATGGGTGGCACATCGCATGTCATGGATTTTAATTATTTTTTGCATGTAGACTTATTAAAGCAAGTGTTTACACATGACAACATTAAAAAAATTTTAGTGCTCCTCTAGTCCTATTTTTGGTAAATGCTTAATTTTAAGTGCAAAAAGGTCAACATAAGGGTAAAAAAATTACTACGTTTTTATTTTGTTTTATATGTAACAGATACTCAAAAAGCTGGATGTGTCGATGAATATTTTTTATAGCATAGACTCTTATCTTTTATTTTATTAATGAATAAGACTCCAATTTATACTTCTTTAGAAAAAATTTTATGGTCCAAATTTGAGTTAAGCAAGTAACTTTTTGAATTCAGTATCCAATTTTCATTACGTTATAAAACCCAATACATTACAAGGACAGATTTTTTTTCTTATGTTATTATGAATACAAAGTACAAACTTTTGAATCACTCAATAAAATCAGTGGGAACAGGTATATTGAAAGAAATAAAAGGAGTCAAATTTACCTTTTTTTTTTTTTTTTTAATAATTTTCCCAAATGAAACCGATCCCGACCGGAATTATATAAAGAAAAAAAATACTATAATTGTAATGTTAAATTTGGCTCTTTTGTTGTAATATGAGTAAAAACTTACTTGATTTATTTTTTTAACATGTTATATAGGTGGCAGGTGCCTTTAGTTTGATAAATTTGTTAATTTTGCATTATTTTCGATCGGATCGGGATCGGTTTTTACTGTAAATTTAGAAACATTTCCTAAATTTGGCTCTTCATTTTAATTTATCAGAAAAATATGCTTGTCTTTTATTTCTTTTCAGTCAGTTAACTGTTTTTAAATGAGTGTAACCATAGATTCAAATTTATGTATTATTTAAATTACTAATGTCTTTTACGTACATGAAGATTACATGTAAAACATCTGATTGAATTCTTAATAGATACTCGGTATTTAAAAAAAAAGTATTTGTACATGCATTATGCAACAAATGAGAGCAGACAGCTTTCTATCTTTATTATTTATCTTATTTCCAAGTAAAATTTCTTTTTTTATTTCCTCAGGAATTAAAGAGTAAATTCTATCAGTGGCGAAATTAAACTTGCCTAAATGCAGGAAATATTTTTATGTGTACAGTCTCGACTTTTTCCAAGTTTTTTCTTACCTGTCATCTGTAAAGTCTTTTCCTCTTTTACAAAATATGATTTTATATAAATAAGAAAATAAGTTCTTTTATATATAGTATCATTATTCAAGAGCCGATAAATCGCAAGCAAAAAGCAAGGGGGGGGGGGGGTCATGACATCATTATTTTTAAAAATTGGTTTCATGAACGTGAAAACATTTTAGAATTGGCCAAAATAGTCACATGTTTAAACTCCATATTAAATGTGAGGGTGTGATTGTTTCAATCGCCAAATTAAAAAAAATAAATAAGTAAAATAAAAAAACCGAAATGTTTCACTAAACCATCTTCCGTTTTAGTGCCAAATTATAGTGGGGAGTTCAGCAGTAGTTTAACTCAATACATATATTTTTATAACTTATTTTTCAGGGTTTTTTTTTTCATTTTTAATCGTACTTCGGATTGTTTATTTTGATTTGACTGCATAGATGAATATATTTAAGTTTTTACAAATATCATGAAGTAAACATTTCAACTTCGTTGAATTAAGTATTGCGTAAATCTAAAACATTCATCATTGATTCCCAATTTTATAAGAAATGTTCATGATAAACACTTCATTAATTATTTTTACGCATATCCTAGTAAATCAGTTAAAAAAAAAATTAGTTCTCAGACATGTATAAAATTACTTATCAAAACGTCATCTAGCTGAGACGCCGCCCGTGTATAAAATACATTTGGATATTAAAATATTATTTAACATTTAGAATAGTGCACTCTGAAGAGTAATTAAACAGAAAAAGAGAAATCATTTTTTTAAAATCTTTTACGCAAAGAATTTACAAACTTCTCTAGAAACTTGTAACTATTTCATTGTGACGCAATATTAGTCAGGTATATGACGTCACTGATACATCAATGGAAACGTGGATTCAACCTGAATAATAGAGCCAATTTTAATCTAAATATTACGTCTGGAGGCGAAAATGAATTATATTTTGAAAATAAATTATTTAGTTTTTTGTTTAATTATTTTCTTTAGTGTATCGATTCTAAATATTTCACCAGGATTCCGATAAAAAGGTGTTGAGCAGATTTATCGATGCCACGGGAGATAACTCTTGCATCGCAAAATTTCATAAAAAGGTCCTTTTATTTTGCCAGAAAACTACTATCAAAAGTGTTTTTCCCACCGATTTTATTTTTTAAACAAAAATTTGAAATATTTCTAGATTTAGTTAAATGTGAATTATAGTCCCGTTAAAAATGTATTAGAAATTACAGTTCTTTGTTTCTGACCTACATTCAATGGTTTATATAGGGGCATTCAAAAACACAAAACACAAGGATATTTTACTAAATAAGCAATTATCAAACAAATCTTCAATTACATTATTCCTTTTGGGCTACATTGATATTGTTTTTAATAAAATATCAAATATTCCTCACATTCGATGTTCCGCCTATTAATACAATACTGCCTGGTTTCTCGGTGGACTGCCTCTTAAAACATATCTCAAATAAAACGTATCTCTGCTTAATGTGGTGATCTCTATAATTATTTAATATGTTCAATGAAAATATTTATACATGTAGGTACATATGCTTTTCATAGAGGCGTCTTGGATGTTTTGTACTTGTATCATAAATATCTGGAAGACATTCCAATATTTGATAATCGTTTGTATTTTGATACTTTGTAATATTACATGTTTATAAAATTGCTGTTAAATTGCTTTTTAATATATATTTTTTAATTCTCTAATACCATATGTAGCAGCATATGTGAAGTCTGCTTTTCATCTTATATATTATATAGCATAAACAGCGTAAAAACCCTGTAAGACTTGAAACAAAAATGGTTGTTTTTATATATCAGTTTCACATAGTTGATTTAAGATTTCAAATGTTCATATCTATATACGAGGCCTGTTCGGAAATTATTGAGACATTGTGTATATTTTTCTTTCTAATGAACGTCTTTCGATGAAAATGTGCATTTACGTTTGACAGACACTAAGAATTAATAAAAGCAAGAAATAGTATACAAATATATTATTTTTTTCTTTTCAGTGGTATATAAATGTGTCATTGGTAGGGGTACCCGGCGCAGTCACGAAATTAGATATTGAAAATATGTAACACCAACGTTAAAACTCCCGGTGGACCCATAGTTAGAGCGAAAATAATTCAAATTATGTATATTATATTTCAATTTCATTTTGACTTCATTTTGTGCAAGTTTGTTAGAATTTCGATCAGAAATACGGAAATCATTATGAAAATTAAGCGCGGTATAGAAATTTTATAACGATGAGAAAATGAATTTTGACGTCAAGGCGGCGCAGCGAGCATACCTAAAATTTTGTGTAGAGCTATGGAGAACTTTTGTCCAGGCTAAACGACCTGCTAAAACAATAACAATCGATAAAACGTGTATAAGGGTTTGTTTTTTTCTTTGGTATATATATTTTTTCGTACAAATAATTGAACCAGAGTAAAAACAAAAGCTCCGGACGACCATCAATTATTACGGACTAAATAACGATGACCTTCGATGCAATAAATCGGTCCTTCGCCATGCTACATGTGAGTCAACCTGTATATGACACCTCATGTATATTTTACACTGGGATAGCAACAGCACATTTATTATTATTATTTTTTTTTTAAAGAATCGTTTAAGAAAAGAAATAGTTTGATTTTGGGAATACATGTAGTATATGTGATATCAGAGAAAGAGTAAACACTTTTCGATCGTTCACGTGAGAAAACATCTCTAGATGATGTGACGTTAAAATGACGTAGCGATGCTGCTTCAGGTTAATAGACATCGTATGTCTTTAATTTCATCGAAACTTATTTAATTATCCCGTAAATTAGAAATTTTGCACATTTGTGTTAGTTGTTCTTCATAAAATGTTGACGAATTTTCATGAATTTATCTCTGTCCTTTGTGGAGTAAAAGTAAATGTCTTAATAATTTCTGAACAGCCCTCGTATAGTGGATATATCCAATGTTAACAAAATGTGCATGAGATTATTCAATAATTAAATACTGTAATTCAAATATTTTAACTGGTTATGTAATGCTAATTTTTAACTTTGTTATAATTATCTAGAATAAGATACATTAATATTTGAGAACTAATTTTGCTAATTTCCATTTGCAACCATTCCTTTATTGAAAGTTTTATTGAAATAGCAGAAAATTAAAAAAAGTACAATTCATGTAATATCAATATTTTTAAGTCAAAATATAATGAACATGCTGACTTTGTTAACAGATGGTTTGTTGAATATCATATGCACATAAATTTGAAAATGAATCTCGAACAACTGAAGTACCGAAATTTTAGAGGAAATTTTGGAAAAGCCAAACTTAAATACCAGTAAAAGTTATCCCTCTTTGAATATTTGTAAAAAGTAAGGAATGCAGCTGAATTTAGAACTCAAGAATACGGACTATAAGTAATAAAGAGTGTCTAAAAATTGTTCTTATATTTCATACAAATTCCACTAAAGAGCATCTCGTTATCTGACACAAGAATCTTTGATGTTAGAGCATTAAATATGCATATTTGGCCAATAGCGACAAGGTTTCTTCTTAAACAACGTTTTTCTTAATGTAAATTCATGAAAATAGAAGAAAAACGTTGATAAGTCAAAAAGAATTTAATTTGTGAATACAGTCAAAACTGTATTGAGCGACCGATCAATGGACATTCTGAAAAGGTCACATACGCAAGCTAGTTTCCTAAATTAGGTAGTCATATTCTAGCAATGTTCGAAGTACATGCATAAATACTAAGTAGCAAACTTGTTACTTGTTGTCTATCATTC